GACTTAATTGTTGTGTAGGTTTTTATTAATATTTGGATAGTATTTAGAACTCAAATCAGAATCTTTTACCTCCAAAGTCTGTAAGTATATCTAGTAGCTATCCTGAAGCCATATTCGCATGTTTTCAAAAATATTTTCAAACAAAAACCTAATTAAGTTTTGAATAACGTTTATAAAATTAAGGAATCGACAATAATCAAGTAAGTGGAAGAAATTAGAAAATAGTAATACTAAATATTTTAATTTGTCATTTGCTTGTTGCTTAATTGTTGAATGAAGATTGCATGTTTTAAATATTGTATAATGGTTGATGGTATGATGAGTTAAATAATCTAAACAGAATATTAATAATAGTGCATATTTACCAATAAGATCATGAACACATAAAATAACTCTCATAAATAAAATAAGATCAACAAAAAAATACACATTCTTAAATAAAATTAGAAATTCTAAGTAAAACTAATAAAAATAAAAACTAAAAATAATAAAAGTATTAAAACGTAAATAATAAACAAAATAATAATTAAATAAATTGTAATAAAAGTGTATGACTAAGGGGAGTTAGTGAATAGTTCCATAATGATGGAAAAGAGACAAATTGTGATAATTAGAATAGTGTGAGATATAGAGTAAGGTTAACTTAGAAATTGTACAAAGTCTGTAGGGAATATAATTAATCTATTAGGAAAAATAAAAATATCAATCTTAACTAGAATGGAAAGAAAAAAAAAACAAAATAAAAACTTGGAAGGAATAGAAATTTAGAGTTAACCCATTTAAAATTGGTATGGATGAAATTTAGTAATGTGGTGAACCCTATCTTTAGTTGGATGGAAACCCTTCTAGACGTGGTTGGCGTGTATGTTGTATTCTAGGTCACCTGGAAATGGACTGTTGCGACCATTGTGTGTGTTTTGGCTGTGTGCATTTTTTTGTGATAGTGGCAATCCTTATCCCATAATGGTACCAATTGGATCCTGGATTCACCGTACATTCTCAAAAAAAAAACTCTAAAACTTTAATAACTTTAAATTGATGATTGTGTTGGAGCAAATCGAAAATCAGGAATACTCTTTGAGGGGTTACGGATGTCTCAATTTGACCAGAAACTTATAGAAAATTATGGTATGTGAATTTGTGAGATAACTATGGATTAACAGGAAACTAGTGGATAAGTATGATTTTGAAACCATTATGTGACATGATAATAGTGTTCGATATATGTGATTACCATTAGGGAATTAAGAAATGAAAAAAATTAAGGATAATGAGAAAATAATGAGAAAGAAGAATTTTGAGAGATAACTAGTAAAAGAGAATAGTGATAAGAAAAGACTAGATAGAAGGAAGCTATGATAAATAATGAGAGATGAGATAAGAAATGGAATATCTTTGCATTTCATGGTTTTCAAACATAAAGGGAAAGAAAAGTTTTACATTTTTTATTGACTGTATGTTGGTATGTTACATGCCTAGGGTGTACTCTATTCGATATACTTGTTGAGCTTGTTGTTTTCCTCACTCTTTTCAAATTCTAATTATTTTCATATCAGACCGAGGAAGATAGTTTACAGAGCCAAAAAAGAAATTTTATGATTTAGTTTTTATCTGGTGAGTTTTAGTTCAGTTATGAACTCTACAGAATTTTATAACCTCACGATATAAATTATGTTACATGTTATATAAGAGATAAATAGCTTCTGTTGTGCTTTTATTTTTAAATTTTATGTTGTATTTTTTGGTTCAGTTGTGTTTGGCGGCGTGGTTTCTTGTTGGAGAACTGCGGGTCATCACAATAATTGGTGTGGATTGTTTCAATGAAGAAGGCAAGGCACTTGGGTCACTGTAATTTGTGATAAAGGAAAAACTCTAGAATGTTTTAGAGCAAAAGAGAGATGCCATATACTTTTTGTAATGAAATCGATTTTTAACATCAATCCGAGTGTGTTCTATAACCATTTAGGTTATTTACATGGTTATGTAATCATGTTGAATAAAGATCCCACGAAAAGGTCATTGTATATTAAAATTTTTGTTTTCTGCTGTATATGCATGAAGATTTTTGTCAACTTTCTAAGCAATTAGAAGATTGGTGCACATATCAAAGTGAGCTTTTACATTAAGTTGTTAATTTATTAGATCTTTCCCAAGAATCTTCTTTTTATGTTTGTTTTTTCTTGAAGCCTCCATTTTCTTGAATTTCTTTACTCATTTGAAATAATTTATATCCCATGACTGCTCATTAGATAACAAAAAAGCTTACTTAACATCTTTCTAAATACATAATTCTTTTAATTTGGTCAAATGTTGTACTTTCCTACCATCTCAAGGAACTAATTTTATGTAGTTAGCATATTTTTTTCCTCTAACTTCACCATCATGTCTGCAACATGGACTTCTACCTCTTTATGGATCTTGTCATGGAACAAGGTCATCATCATTTTTACTATGTTAACCTTGTGCTCTTCAACCCAAAAGACATTTTATAGCAAAAGGTTACCACTCCATAGTGAATATTAACTTAAATTTGTCGATTTTGACACTATAATCTATTTTTATCATGAAAATAATCCATAAAAGAATACGCTACACAAAATATGAAATTGTTAACTAATATGTTACATAAAATAGCAAAGAGTCACCTTTTAAATTGTTTAATTCCTTGTCGTCCATAAATGTATGTACCTGTCTATCATTGAGATTTAACTTAATTAGTGTATAACTCTATAAATATATTAATTAATATTTTAATTACATTAAATCAAACATTACATTTTAATTGATGTTTAAACCAGTGAACTTCAATAATTTTATTTGTTTGTAATTAAATGCATGATGTTAAAAGGAAATAATTTTAAACAAAGTTGATGTAAAATAGGATAACAAAAAAAAAAAAAAAAAAAAAAAAAGACTGCGTGTAGTGAATTTGCACAAACAAAATCCACGTGTGCTGAAAATAGAAACAGGCAAACCACAATTTTTTTTTTGTGTTTGTGTTTAGTGGTAGAAAGTAAAATAATTTTGAAAGTGGAAGGGTAAATTTTTTCGACGTTGTCTTTTACTATTTATAACAGAGGAAAAAGTAAAATAGAGATTAAAAATAGGTAAAACTTTCGTTACGTAAAGGGAGGAGGCATGCAGATGGATGTCATAGATTCGCAAGCTAACGACGTGGCCCTACCTGTCAATGCTTTTTAGTAATAGAAGGAAAAACCAGTCTAAATAAATAAAATCACAATTTGAACCCAAAAAACAAAAAAAAACAAAAAAAAAATTAAAATAACTAAAGAAGGAATATAATTTGACTTTAGTACCATCTAAGAACCATTTATTCGCAGTTTATAACCCATCTTATTTTTTGTCACAATCTAGTAACTTAAATATATGTTCAATTCATTATATTTCTAAACAACTTAAAATTTTTTCATAAACAATTCATCTCATTGTATTCATAGTTATAACTAAAGATGGGATTTATTTTGTTTTAAGTAATATAAATAATAATAACAAATATTAATGTCTACAATCAATTTTCTATGTGCAAATTCAAGTAGAATTTTTTTCAAATTATACTTAAGTAATTCATGAAATTGTTTTATTTTCTAAAACATTTAAGAAAAATATCCCTTTTAAAAAAAAAAATTAGAAGCTCGAAAGTTAAACTATAAGGAAAATAAAATTAAATTACAACATTCGAAAACTGAAAACTTACCTTTAATATATATATATATATATATATGAATAGTGTTTGCACAAGTATCAAGGAAATGCAAGTAGGTTGAGGGGATTCCTTTTGTCGGCGATGGAATTGATATTCCCAACTCGTTTTCAATCGATACGGCCCGTTTAAGTACGACAAGCAGCCCATCAAGAAACAAGACGACTTGTGTTGTATTGTGGGTCCCCTCAATCCAATCCAATTCCCCATCTCATCCCACCCTCATAAATAAACCATCAGATTCTTGTTTGTACTGTCACATTCTCAGGCTGCTAGACGTGACTACACCCCACCACCGTTTGCAGCTTCAAGAAGGATTAAGACTAATTATAGTAAATTAAAACCCTACTTTCGTTATTTTTGTTCCCAAAAATAAATATATAGATATTTTAGACCCGCTAGTTATATAAATAACTGTGTGCACATGCTTCAAATGATCAAACTTCAAAATATGCGTTCTGGCAGAGGTTTCTCTGCTGGAAGCTCAAGCAACTCTCGGATTCCTTCGCAAACCTGCATGCAACCAATCAAGCGATAGTTTTCAGATAACAAAGATCTTATCAAAACTTCAATTTGACAAAAAATAAAAAATAAAGATCTTCAGGTTGCAAATATATATTTGTTATAACTAACACTTAAACATTCATTTGCCCAGTTCTTTTTTTCTTTTTCATTGTGGTAATTAAGATTTGAGACATACGTACCAGCTTGATCTGGGCTTTGATTGATGCAATAAGACGAGTATACTCCTCTATTTGCCTGCACGTTTTGTAACCCATTAATTCTTTAATTTCTATGTCACCTCCAAGAGGAGGAAACAGAAATGCAGGAACAATTAGATGCCTGGTACACCACTAAACCCACGTTATCTAAAGACTAAAATCTGTTCTTGACCACTTTTTAACAAAAGAAAAAAAGCTGGATCAATTCACCCATGCGCACTAACGCATGATTAGGATAACCATCTAGGACTAGGTACTCCTTTTTCTGCTCCACAAGCTGTTACATCTGCTTTAAAGAAAGGTATATACGATCCGTTCACATGACAGATACAGCAGCATGGCACTCAGGGACAGAAGACGAGGATGGCGTTCATAATAATGGACTATGCAGAAGTTTGGATTAGGCATGTGTTTTAGGCAGAGGATGATCAGGGAAAAATCTGATCCTAGAATTGTGGGAGACTAGAGATTTCTTGGGAGAGAGAAGTGGAATTTAAAGATTCACTCGTTGAAGTTCAGATTTGCAGATTTACTCAGGACAAGCACAAGCTATAATCATGTCTGAATTTTAATGGATGTTTTCTTGAATCAATTAACCATTCTCTGATCTATGATCAGAGAGTCTTCCTTTAGGTTAACCAGTGGTTTCAAAATATCTCATTACATTTAGTTTCATGACCTTCGCACTGTCATGAGAGGTTCTAGGAAAATTGTTCTCAAAGCCAGAACCTTCATAGTTTCTGTCTGAGGGAGAAAACTTATACATAGAGCATCTCCAAATCTGTTAGAGGGTTCAGGATTCAACTTTTCATGGGAGAGATTCATGTAGGTGGTTTAAGGAAATTCTCAAGCACTATGGCAGCAAGAAGGCAAATTACTTTTAAGAATCTAATAATTATATATAATAATGTAAGTTACAAATATATGTAATAAATTTAGATTTTTATTATTTTTTTTACAAAAAATAACTGCTTATTTTTCGCAATCAACATGTTATCCAATAGTGTGGTTGTTTATTTTTTAAATAAGAATTTATCCACTTCAAGTGATTTAAAGCTCTGGCTTAAATAAACACATTTCTTTCAGCAATCCCAAACACCCTCTTGATATTCAGCTTTTATATAAGCACAACTTCTCCTGAAAATAATAACTTCCCTCATTGAAAATAACTACTCCAAAATTTTAGAAATTACCTTCACACTTATTATTAGGTCCCAGTCAGAACCACAAATTAAGAACATTTTCCTAAGGAAAAAAACCACACTTGGTGTACTGATTTTCCCATCCCTTTTCTGCAATCGCTTACACACTTAAATAGGGAAATCTAGGATAACTGCTTGGAACTGCTCTGGTTGTGGAAGAACTGATCTGGTTGTGGGACTTTGTGGAATAACTGCTCTGGTTGTGGGAAAATGATTTAACTGTCAACCTGTCCCCACATCTTCCGGTCTTATCACTTATCATCATAACAAATCATATCATTTAGACAAAGCTGTATAACTAAATAAACCAACAGCCATGTCCCTTTTTTTTTTAAATACCAACAGCCATGTGATATAACCAATCCAGCAGCCATATGTTAACATTCACAAGATTCATGTGGCGTATAACACAGACCTCCCCTCCAACAATCAAGTTGCATAGAAACACCTACACATCACAGGATCCCAAAATAACACAACCTAATGATTACCCTAAGGGAATGCCTAGATAGGTAACAGCCCAAGAGAACACACCACACCACAATCAATTCAGCAAGCCTTCTAATAGCATTATCCTCAACATCAGTTCTCACAAAGCCACTCTTTGCAAGGTTGATGTGCAGACTAGAAATACTTTCGACAACCTTAAGCACGGACTTCATTGAATACCCAATCATCATCCCAGAGAAAGAGAATAACATCATCTGCAAACT